TGTGTGTGTGTGTGTGTGTGTGTGTGTGTGTGTGTGTGTGTGTGTGTCTAAGCTCTTGACTGCAGCTAAATGTATTTCTGCTATGCACACTATACTGTATCCTATTTAGTTATCTAGTATGTATCATTGTTTTGTTGTGTCTCAGTGGAGGGCACATGAATAATTGTTGTAGTCTAAGTCTGCTCGTAACAATAATCATTGTAAAAATAAAGCCTATTTATTCAGTACCACAGCATCGTTGATGACTCGGAGGGCTATGTGACGGCAACCTGAGTGGCATAAGATATGCACGCACACACAGACGTTACAGAGACACAAATGCACTTTTCACTGACACCGGCACGCACACCGAACGCTGAAGGTCCCAATCAGTGTTCTTTCTTTGTTGGGAGTTTAAAATTAGGAATCACACTCAGTGTTTACGCTCGTGGCGCTACCACTGGGCGCCATAAGAGAGGATATGTCATTTTCGGTTAATATCTCTCTCTTTCTTCTGGTTCCCTCTCCAAATTTTCCTCTCTGACTTTTTCTCTCCCCAGACCACAAACGCATACACAGCATTCACACACACACACACACACACACACACACACACACCACCTCCCTTACTTTAACACTCTATTTATTTGCAGGTATCTCTGCTGTGACTCCCAGTCAGATATGAGGGAGTGGTATGCCACTTTCCTAAGTATCCAGGTGCGATCTCACACACACACACACACACACACACACAATATGTTCACAGGCTTTAATACACTTAATTTACGGATATTCTGTAAGTCTGCTATTTGTTTTGTTTCACTTTGTTTCCACTGGCCAATAATCTTTAAGGAATGTAAAAAAACAGACACTGGTTCTTAGCATTAGTGATCTTACAGCAAAGTTGGAGTATACTTCAACAGGACAATTTAAATAGCACGTAAGATGCTCACGTTACATGCATATTACCCTTAACCTGCGGATACTATTGTTGTAATGTCAAATCTCCTCTTGCTCCCTCTCCTCATCTCTCCCTGTGTTCCTGTCCACTCCTCACTAAAGTACGATGGCAACGTGTGGCCTCAGGACGGACTCCAGCAGACACGAGTGAGCCGCGTGTTGCCGGATACGCGTCACGGTAATGTGTCACTGATACCACTGCGTGGCAGTGAGAATGAGATGCGGAACAGCGTGGCAGCTTTCAGCCAAGACCCGCTTGCTGTGAGTGAACCTACCAATCACTGGGAATAATCTAGATCAGACCAGGAAGCTCAATCTGGAGCTACTGGTTTATCAGAGACATTCATGCTGAAACAGGTGGTCCAGACCCTCAACCCTGATTCTCACCAAAGAGGTGAACAAATTTGTGCTAGTTGTGTAATGTGTACATTGCATTTGGAGTGAAAAAAAAAGTCTCCTCTGAATTCTACTCAGTTTTAAAGACATGCACATTTAGTGTTGCTTCAATATTTGTCTTCTCTTTTCATTATTCCCTTCCGCCAAAAGGAAGACAGGAGTTGGGGGTTACATCTGTGCAGAATCAATAATCTCTGTTCAATGATTCATCTTTGATTTAATCATCATGACAAGATCTGGGTTCTTAAACTGGCTCTTTTGACCAGAAACAGACTAAAGGGCGCTTCCTTGAAGTGTTTTCATTAGCCTGGATTCCAGGGCAAGAGAATAAATTCCCAGGTTATGTCTGCGTCTAAAAATGTTTAAGAATCCAGATGAGGTGAAGAGGAGGAGAGGGCAGCATCTTCATATTGTAGGTTTGGATTGAGAACCAACAAAACCAGAATTACAGCAAGAGTCATTCTTGGCGAGGCGCTGCCAAAGCTTTGCAAACAGAATCTTAAGAATAACACATTTAAAGTGAACTCATGCCCGCAGGCAAAATATGGCCACTCGCCAACATTTTGTTTCACAGCACTGCTTCTGGCATGTCAGCTCAGAGTTGTATACTTGGCAAGAATTTGACAAACACCATCACTGTGGTTTGTTGGACTACATTTCAAGCATACTGACATAAATCCGGACCTGCGACATCAATGGTGGTATGCGACCAAATGTCCACAATATAATGATGCAGTTGTCTCCTTCTGGTGTTTCTGTAGCCATCACATGTCTCTCGTTAGTGCGCTGCAGACTGCAGCAGCACATAAGAATTCAACACAGTCTGCTGTTACTTCCATTGGCAAAAACACAATTCCAGGGTTGTTGTTGCCTTCCACATATTTTTCTATTGATCCTTGTCTTTTCAGTGTATCGACTGGATAAAAAAATAAATATTTGGAGCATGAGAGGGGGTGTGATTGCTTTGGTGATGGAGCAGCAGCAGCAGAAGCTGTATTTATGCAAGATGTTTGTGTATGTGGGTGTGGAGGAGAGAGATTTACTGTATATTGATATGCCCAATTTTCAACGTGAAGTAAAAGAGTAAGTACGGAGCACTGACCATGTGTCGGTGTGTGTGTGTGTGTTTGTGTGTGTGTGTGTGTGTGTGTGTGTGTGTGTGTGTGTGTGTGTGTGTGTGTGTGTGTGTGTGTGTGTGTGTGTGTGAGAGAGAGAGAGAGGATGGTTGACTGCTCCTGTTTATGACTCTCAAGGTGAAATCTGATGATGTTTGTTGTGCCTTTTTGAATGTTGGTATCACGCATTCACCACATCTCTCCTTGCTCTGACAAGGCTTCTTCACACTTGTCTTTCTTTTTAGACGTACCATCGACACCTGCTTGCCTCTTAGTCTCTTTCACTCTACGTTTCCCTCCTGTCTGCAGTCCATCAGTCTTCACCTCCTATTTCTACACCTCTCGGTTTCTCCATCTGTCCATCTCCCTCCCTGTCATAACCCCTCTGCTGTTTATCTTTCAGCTCTTTAGAGATGTTCGATAAAGTTCGCTGCAAGAAAGGTATGACGCTTTACAATCTAATTTGACAAGATATAATATATATATATATATGTCATGATCATGAAAGATAAATTAAGCTGATTGGTTGGTTTATCCGTCAGGCTGCCCTCTTGAGCACTTCTTGAGTCCACATCTTGTCGGCTGCCTCAGCGACATGTGTAGTCTGGACACAGATTTTGAGCTTGACTTTTCAAAGGAAAAGTGTATAAGTGGTTTTAAATGTAGAGGTGTGGCTGTGTTTCACTTTGCTGTAATAGATTAAAACTCCCGTACAAATGAATAAAAAGTGTAGGATGTGACAGCACTGATTTGAATGCCTGACTCTCTGGATTTCTGTTCTTTAAAGGCGGACAGTCGGCCTCAGAAGACCTCTGAACATTCCAGTGACGACGTCATTCTGCCGTTGTAAGGGCCACAATGATGGACACTCGTACTCTGTGTGGATTATGGCCTTAGACTGCCATCTGCTCCTTTGAATATGAACTGGACTGAAACGGACAAACAGGATCACATGTAAAATATAAGCAACACTGGCCTCCTGCACAAAATAATGTTCCTTGACTTGATGTACAGTGGAAGCAGCTGGGAGCGGTGGCAGTTTGAAGGGACAGTTTGAGGGACAGTTTGAAGGACTAGGATGGATGTTTGACAAGTCTTCGCCCAATGCTCAACTGTTGGTCAGTGGCACGTGACTCAAACACTGCATTGCATTATGGGACGGAAGCATGAAAGACATGCTGAGAGAAACCTTAATTTCTTTAATGTATTTCAGAAAAGACTTAGTCGAGTTATTCGAGGCACTAGCATTGAACGCTTAGCTTTTGTTTGTTTTTTTAAATAGAAGAATAAAGTTTATTGGCTTGCAGTAGTAGTTCATCTGATTTATAGTTATTTAAAGTTTTATCTTGTATTAAATTGTGTCTTTTGGGAAGTGAAGGAATGAGAGGTATGAGCTGAAAAAAACATTTCCTTTCTTTCGATTAAAAGAAGAAAGTCACAATTGAGTGCAACACGACCGTTGCCAAACTTTGTTAGAATATGTGATAAATTAAAAGAAACTCTTGATTTACTATTGCCCCATATTCTGAATCAAGCATCTTAAGTTTGAAACCATATTCACTTATTCACAATGTATGAAGCCCTGGCCTGATCAGGAGTGTTCCCCATACATACATGGGCAGTTTTATCATTAACCAGCAGTATTTATGAAGTTTTAGATTATGGATTAGTCCCATTGAAATAAACTTCTCTTTTATGTTTGTTGCGCACAATCTTTGTAAGTGTATGTTATTGTAGTTTGTTCATCAAAACAAGGTGCAGAAGTTCAAATGAAAGACCTGGAAGCACAAGAAACAAATTAAAGTGCATTATAATCTTCTATCATTCTTCTACTTGGGTCCAAACTTGGATATATTTTGTCAAAAGGAGAGCCATGAAACAATCTGTATTAACTGTACTAACCTGTCAACGGTTGCCTTACCCAGCTGCCTGAGCTTGAACCGCCCATCTTCATCGCCTTGTAGAGTTGCGTTTGTGCCACCTGTCGGTTTTTCCGTGCTGGAAATACTTCTTATTTATTTGGACAGCAGAGGCCGCTAGATGCTGTAGGGAGCTCCATCTCTGCTGGCGAGACATCATGCCTTTGAGACAAATGTTCATTTTTAACACCGTTTTTTAGGCAGAGTTTGCCGTAAAATGTGTGTATGCATATTGTGCGTGTGTGTGTTATTAGCTGCCCTCCAGTAGAGTCCTCAGCAGGAGAGAAGACTGCTCTGTGTAGTCGTGATTACGACAGTAATTTACACTCTATAAAAAGTATTTATCCCCTACGTGTGCTTTATTTATGTTTAATTGATTTCAACATTGAATCACAGGGGATGCACCATTTATGCGGATTGTCACAATATTGGGTACAAATAATCACAAAATAATTGTTTGGATTAGTATTCAGTCCTTTCAAATCTATAAGCTCTGACAAGTTGCACGATCAGTTAAAACGGTCAATTTTTACGTCCCACCACAAACTTTAGATTGACTTATGAGACCACGGATCAATTTGGTTTCACCAAGTGCTTCATTCTGGAGATGATGAGCTTACGACAATCACAGCGTTAGCTAGTTGCGTTCAGTTTAGTTATCTAAATCTCATCAGACTGTACAATCTTACTCGTTGTTTCACCGTCTCTTATATAGTACCTTCTGGCAGACATTTAGAAGTTTTTGCCCTTTTTACAGATTTCCAATTCTGTCATTTTCCATTTTTTCATACAGGTACAGGTGTATCCAACCAAGTAAGTTTTTACACCTCTAATACAACAGATTTTGACTTCTGTGACTACAAACACTTTGCTGAAGCCATGGTGGTGGAATACTTTCACTTATTTTCTATTTTCTATTTGGAGACATTTGTAGAGATATTTTCACCTCCTTAATACATCGGTGATCCAGTGTTGTAAAACAGTAAAGTATAAAAGTCCAACGGGATGGTGAATACTTTTGATAAGCTTAGGCGCGCATGTGTATTCTCTGTCTGGCTCTTTTCTTACTCTGTTACTCTGCATTTGACTGATTTTCCATTTCTGAAACTCAATACACACATTCAGCTAGTTGTGTATGCATGTTGTGTCTTAACATGCATATAATTATAATGCACAGTCACATAGTTCATTTTACTCTGGCAAAAGGTTGATGCCCTCCAGCTCTGCTTTGCCCTCATGGTAATCTACTTGTTTTTCTTCAGTGCTTTTATGAAATTAACATACACAAACACGCACAGTCCAGCTTGAATCGGCCCCACTGGGTAACTGTGAAAACAAGCTGTGCTCCAAAACACGTATACAGCACTTTACATTTACATAGACTATACACACAAATATACAGGGACAAGAACTGTTTCGAGGCCTGCAGGCTTCATGGCAATGTCATGCTACATCCATACAATGGAAGCCTATAGATGTGCTTCGAGGAAAAATGTCAGAAAAATGCCACACACCGTACCCCAGTGTGTGGCTGGGGTACGGTGATCATAGGGAGAGCCCTGAGGAGGTCGTGTGTGTGTGTGTGAGTGTGTGTGTGTGTGTGTGTGAGAGAGAGAGAGAGAGAGAGAGAGAGAGAGAGAGAGAGAGAGAGAGAGATT